ACCTGCACCCTTCAGGCACTTTGCCCCGGGCAGCTCACTGTCCCTTAGCTAAATTGTGGGATGCCTTTATAGTCATTGGTCTACCACCCTGTAAATAATATTTGTGATTTTAATCCAATCCAAACTGGCAACTTTTCCTTACTTCACAGAAATCAGACTACAAACTGCAAACTGAGCAACTGAACGTTATGAACCATTCTAACAGCACAATATATAGATTTAGGACTACAGTGGTACCTCGGGTTACAGATGCTTCAGGTTACAGACTCTGCTAACCCAGAAATAGTACCTCGGGTTAAGAACTTTGCTTCAGGATGAGAACAGAAATTGTGCTCCAGCGGCGCGGCAGCAGCGGGAGGCCCCATTAGCTAAAGTGGTACCTCAGGTTAAGAACAGTTTCAGGTTAAGAACGGACCTCAAGAACAAATTAAGTTCTTAACCCGAGGTACCACTGTATATGGGAAAAAGAGAAATTAGCATAATCCTTCAATATCAATCAGTGGTTTCCCTTTTGTATTTTGAGTAGCATTTTGTTTGCTACATGGTTGCAGTCAGGACTGTGTGAGCTAAAAATACCCCTAGGATTCTGCACCAAGGTGACCCAAATTCTGCAACCGGTGGAAGAAGAAGAAGAAGAAGAAGAAGAAGAAGAAGAAGAAGAAGAAGAAGAAGAAGAAGTTTTGGATTTGATATCCCGCCTTCCACTCCCTTTAAGGAGTCTCAAAGCGGCTAACATCCTCCTTTCCCTTCCTCCCCCACAACAAACACTCTGTGAGGTGAGTGGGGCTGAGAGACTTCAGAGAAGTGTGACTGGCCCAAGGTCACCCAGCAGCTGCATGTGGAGGAGCGGAGACGCGTAATCCCCAGATTATGAGACTACCGCTCTTAACCACTACACCACACTGGCTCTCAGTAAATTATGCAAAATAAGTATTTTGATACATTTGACTATTTTGCATAATTTGCAGCATGGTTACTCAAGAAGTATGCTCCATTAATTTCAGTGGAGATTCCTCCTAAAGAGGTATGCATAGGATTGCAGCTCATGTCTGCTTTGGGGATGGGAAAAAGGTTCATGGATGGAGCTGAACTCCAACCCCTGAAAAAATGCTGCTGGGGCGCCTCTGGCTTCAAACATCTCACAAGGAATTTCACAAGCTATTTCCCATGCACTGTCTTTGCTGCCCAAACTGGGAGAAATAAATTGTTTTTGTGTGTTTGTTGTTCTTTTAAAAAGCCAAGTTCTGTCACTGGATTCTGCACCCAATAACCAAATTGTGTGCATTTCTGCCCTCGTGCAAAATTGCAGCCTACAGCACAGAGCCTGCTTGCAGCAGCGCTGAAAAAACAGAGGGTGGGTGGTTCTCAAATGTTTAATATGAATGTGACACACCTGTTTATAGAAGGTGAGGAAGTGAAAACACTGCATCCTAATGAACAGGGGAAACGAAGGCTAAACTATACAGGACTTTGGAGATCCATAATTGACTCTGCTGTGTCTTTCCATTTCTTTTAACAGCAGACTGGGGGGACATGTTTCTAGGAGAAATATGGTCTATATAGAACCTCAGTGCTCAGAGAGAGTATGCCAAAGGATAACAGTTTCTAGGAAGAGAGGATTGTTGGCTTTTGTGTTTAGTTTCTGGCTTCTTGCGGGCTTGAACAAAAGGTTGCTGTGTAATATACAGAGTGATTGTGTAGTCGCACGGCTATCCCAGGGCTAGCGGACCACTGCGCTAATCCCGAAGCTTGGGGCATGCGGAGCTCAGCGCGCCCCAAGCTTCTGGGTGCCGGCAAGGTCTCGCTAGCCCTGGGAGAGCCCCGCGACGTCGCACGGCTCTCCCAGGGCTAGCGAAGCGCTGCGCTAATCCCGAAGCTTGGGGCGTGCAGAGCTCAGCGCGCCCCAAGCTTCTGGGTGCCGGCAAGGTCTCCGCTAGCCGTGGGAGAGCCCCGCGACGTCGCGCGGCTCTCCCAGGGCTAGCGGACCGCTGCGCTAATCCCGAAGTTTGGGGCGTGCGGAGCACAGCGCGCCCCAAGCTTCTGGGTGCCGGCAAGGTCTCGCTAGCCCTGGGAGAGCCCCGCGACGTCGCACGGCTCTCCCAGGGCTAGCGAAGCGCTGCGCTAATCCCGAAGCTTGGGGCGTGCAGAGCTCAGCGCGCCCCAAGCTTCTGGGTGCCGGCAAGGTCTCCGCTAGCCCTGGGAGACCCCGGGACGTCGCGTGGCTACCCACGGCCTACGCGGACCGCTGCGCTAACCCGAAGCTTGGGGCGTGCGAGCTCAGCGCGCCCCAGAGCTTCTGGGCGGCCGGCAAGGTCTCCGCAGGCTAGCGGAGACCCTTGCCGCGCCAGAAGCTTGGGCGCGCTGACTCCGCACGCCCCAGGTTCGGGATTAGCGCTCTGCTAGCCTAAGCAGCCTGCTTCCCGGAGGCGTCGGGCGCCTGAAAGCAGAGGCTCCAGGCGGCTTCGGGAAACACAGTCCGCAGCGGTGGGGAGGCTTGCAAGGATTCCCCCACAGGGCTCCCCACGCTGCGGACTAGCAGCCCCATGCTGCCTGGCGGGTGGGGGCCGGCCCTGAAGCAGAGCGGCCCCGCGCGCCAGGCAGACATCAGCCAGCCCACAAGCTCCGGGGGACAGCAGGGAAGCGCAAGCGCCACTATCCCGCTGTTCCTTCGAACCTGGTTCGGGTTTCCCTGACTGCTTTGGGGGGGGAAATATAAGGAAAAATTTTTCCCTTATTTCCCCCCCAAAAAAACTAGGTGCTTCCTATGGGTCCGGGTGCGTCCAATCGTGCGAAAAATACGGTAAGTGCACTTCCCCTGATACTGGAGTGTGGTCACTGTAGTACAGTGATTGTGGTTACTCTGATCACCACATGGGTGTCTGAAGGAAGTTCTCACTGATTAGACCATCGAATGCTTTTCTCGGCAAGCACACTATACAAATGGCAGAGTGGGAAGATATCTAGGCACCTCCCGTGGGAGACACTTGAGGGCTTGCGGAATAAGCAGTCGATGAGTCCAAGGTTTCCATAACGAAATGTTAAAAATAAAGGATTTGTCAGAGCTGTGGTTTCTAAAGTGAGGAGCATGCAGTGAGTCTATAGGGATATCATAGTACATCTGTCAGTTGCTTTTCTGTGGAACATAACTTGGTATTTGCAGTTCCTGCAGAAGAGACTTGTAGGAAGTTATAGCCAGCAGTAGGTCTTTGTAGTGCACACAGTTGATGGGGGCTAATGCAGGAATTGACGGGCGGGGGGTGACTGTAAGACAACTGCTGTTGGGAGGTGGGTTGCCCTTTCATGGGATATGATGTGGGGCAGTGGATTTGGTTGTCTGTGTATATTTATAAATAAATGCAACTATTCCAGAACACCAGTTAGATCCCAGTGACCGCCTTCCAAACAAAACCCAAACTAGGTAAGCGCTGCGTCCCTTGATTGTCTCACCGCTTGGGAGAAGAGCATGTTGGAACCTGACCATCTGGGATGTAACAAAGGTTCTCTTGCCTGGAAGCCTCTAAGCGGCCAGTGAGGTTGAGAGAAGATCACAGTTAAATCCTCTTTCAACCTGGTTTACAAAAAGGAAAAATATTGCTGTTCTGCTTAGGTGGAAGCAAGTTGCACTTTGATGTTCCACATCCCACAGAAGTGTGCATAACGCTGCCGCCTTATAGTCCAATCCTGTGCTCTGGAATCTATAATGTTGAAGGGTAGTTGTGTGTGGGTGTTTTCTGAATTTAGTGAGTTTCGCAGTGCTCTTATTAGAAGCCACATTGATTCCATTGGAATTGCATATAAATGTGTGTAGGATTGCAGCCCTGCACCCACACCATATATTTACAGAACATGACTTCCTCCCAGAGAATCCTGGCAACTGAAGTTTGTCAAGGGTACTGGGAATTGTAGCTCTGTGAGGGTGAACTACAGTTCCCAGGAATCTTTGGGGGGAAGCTATGTGATTTAAGTGTACTGTGAGGGTGTGACTTAAGTGTGCACAGGATCACAACCTTACAAGTACAAAGCAAACAAACCTCAAACCTCTTGTCTTAAATTAAATTATTTAAATGAAAATAAGGTTGGAAGGATTTGCTGAAAAAACGATTGGAATTAGAATACAAAATTGGGAGGTATGAGGAGGTCAAGGAAACAAGTAAAGGAAGAAAGTTTGTAAAGGTTTAATCTCTTCTTTTTCTATTTTAAGTGAATGTATTTTTATACCTTTTTCTTTTTTTCTCTGTTATTGTTGTATTCTTTTTCTTTGTATTTTGTATTGCTTCTTTTTTTGTTGTTGTAACTTTAAACTTTGAATAAATATTATATAAAAAAAACCAAAACCTCAAACCTCTTGTCATCTATGGAACATACCACTTGTCTGTTATTCCAAATAAAAGAAAACACATCACCTCAATGGCATCGCAAGCTTCTCTGAGCCTGACCCTAAGCATGTGTACTCAGAAGTAAGCCCTGTTGATTTAAATGGGAATTACGACCAAATAAGGGGCTTATATTGCCAAGTGATCCTAAGAATGTTTGCTTGGAAGCCAGTCCCAGTAAGTGGAGACTCCTGCCAGGTAATTGTGCATGGGATTATCCCTGTGCAACCAAACTCCTGTCCCTGTTTACTCAGGCGGATCTTACTCCCAAGCAACTATAATCTTATAGCTTCCCGCGGATTGAATATTTATTTACCCATATTTATTTTCAACACATATTTTGCTTTTTTTTTTTTGTTACTCTGGAGTAAATAGTTCTTCTGGAGGGCACCGCAACGGAAGGTGAAAACCCTAAACTGCGGCGATTTAATACCCATAGAGCCCCCCAATCCTGCTCGGCGAGTCTACTCGGAGGTAAAGCCCCGCGAGACTCCGCCTCCAGGGGCGCTAGAGAGCAACCACGCGAGGCAGGGAGCCGCGCAAGCTGAACGCGCGGTTATTGGCTGAGGGGAAAAGCGGGGAGGGGGGCGGAGAGGCGGGGAGAAGAACCTTTCCCACGTGACCCACCTCCAGAATGTTGGGTTCTTGCCCCAGAGCCGGCGCCGCGAGTCGATCCCTCGAGGCTGGGCAGCAGCAGCAGCAGCAACATAAGCGGCGGCGGCGCCTTCATTTGCAGCGTTCACGTGGGCGCGTGGTGATGTAATCCCTCCTCCTCCGCCCGCCCCGTCGTGGCGCTTGCAACGCCGCGGAGCCGCTCTCCGTTGTTTCTCGAGGTGGGGGCAAAAAGGCAACTTTTGTTTCTTGGGCCGGTTCTGCCCTCCGAGCCGGTGCGCGCGCCCGCCCGCCCGCCAGCCAGCCGGGCAGAGGGGAGCCTCCAGGGGGTGAGTGCAGCGTGCGCGCCCGGCTCGAACTTTTCTCCTGCTCCTCCCCTCCCGTCTCTGCTCCTTTGGGAAGCCGCCCTTCCCAGGCGAACCCCGCTCTCTCCCCCTGCTTGGAGGTTGCCTCGGTCTCTCGGCTCCCCTCCTTGCGCCTTTTCTCCTTTTGTTGCGCGGAGCCCGGTCGCGGCAGCTCGGCTGGGGGGCACCAAGGAGGAGGGAGACGGGGGGCGCTATGAATGGGAGCATTGTCTCGCCCTCCCTTCAGGAAAGGTTTGGGATGGAAAGCGAGCGGGGGGGGGAGAGAGAGCGTGTTTCGGGGTGCGTTTCAACGAGGAGGGAGGGTTCCCCTTGGGTCCGCTTCAAGGGAATAAGAGAGAGGAACAGAGAGGAGAAGTGGTACCTCTGGAGAAGGGTCCGGGAATGGGAAATACCGCGCGGGGGGCTCCCCTCAGCTCGTTTCCTTGCAGTTTGGGGTCCCCGAAGTTTAAACGGGCTTGTGGAGGGTAGAGAAGCCGATAACACGCCCACGAAGTGATTGCTGGAAGGGCGGGGGTTGCTTTATAGGTGCTCCTTTTCTTTCTCTCCTTATGATTCAAATCAGCTTTTGGTTTCTGTTGTATGATAGATGGGAGGCCTTTATTTTCCTTTGAGAAAAGGAGGGGAAAGTTCCTCCGGGGGGGAAAGATGGGAAATGACACCTTCTGTCCCAAGAAGGAAAAGAGAGCTTTTCTTTCTTTCTTTCTTTCTTTCTTTCTTTCTTTCTTTCTTTCTTTCTTTTCCCCACAAGCAGACAGCACAAAGCCGAACCTGTCCCCTCCAGTGCGTTTTCCTTCCAAAGATCGCCTCAGCGCAACCTTTAGGGGGAAGACCTCTTCGCTCCTCTCCCCCTCCATCCCATAAGTGCTCATTGCTGTGGTCTAGACCCACCAGGGCTTTGGAAAGTTGACAGCTCCGCAGCTTACATGTGAGTCATAATCACTGGGTAAGCTGAAAAGGCTAAAGAAATCAAAATCTTTGGGTTTCCCTCCTGCTGCCAAGGTATCCTCAAAGCAGGATTTTATTTAATTTTTTTTGAGAGTGGAAGAAAAGATCCCATTGGAGGGATATGCTCAGGGTAAGCTGGTGGATTTTTCACACCTCCTAACGGGATTTATCCTTTTCAAGGTACTTATGCTTAAATTTCTAATGTGGTGAGCTTGTTTGTGGTGGGGTTTTTTTAAAAGGGAGATTTTACCCATGTGTACCAATTCCACACTGATGAGTTGTGAGCATAATTTACTGGATAATAAAAAGATTCTACATATGAAATGAAGGGAACCATTAACATCGATGAAAATCTACCCTTGTACTCTAGCTCACAACATGCTGTGGGCTGTGCCAGTAAGGTGTGAGAATCTATTTCCGTCTTTACTTGCCTGGTGGGAAATGTTAAAAAATGCCATTCTTGGATAAAGAAGTACAAAAGTATTTTCTCTTTCAGGGTTGTATTTATAAATAGGCAACACCTGCAACTTTTGATTGCAGGGTGGCTTTGCCTAGGGACGCGGGTGGCGCTGTGGGTAAAACCTCAGCGCCTAGGACTTGCCGATCGCATGGTCGGCGGTTCGAATCCCCGCGGCGGGGTGTGCTCCCGTCGTTTGGTCCCAGCGCCTGCCAACCTAGCAGTTCGAAAGCACCCCCGGGTACAAGTAGATAAATAGGGACCGCTTACTAGCGGGAAGGTAAACGGCGTTCCGTGTGCTGCGCTGGCTCGCCAGATGCAGCTTGTCACGCTGGCCACGTGACCCGGAAGTGTCTGCGGACAGCGCTGGCTCCCGGCCTATAGAGTGAGATGAGCGCACAACCCTAGAGTCTGGCAAGACTGGCCTGTACGGGCAGGGGTACCTTTACCTTTAACCTGCAATCTTTCAAATATTGAGAATCATAGAATTGTAGAGTTGGAAGGGGCCAAGAGGGTCATCTAGTCCAATCCCCTGCAATGCCCAAGGTGGGGCTTAAACCCATGAACTTGAGATTAAGATTCTCATGCTCTACAGACTGAGCTATATGGTGGACACCAGCTCCACCATCCTTGGCCTTTGGTCAAGCTGGTTAGGGCTGATGAGAGTTGGAATCCACCAACATATGGAGGGCCACAGGTTCCCCTTCCTGTAACAGGTTACATATGAAGTTGTTGGACCACTGGTCTAATTAGCCAAGTACTGGTAGCGGCTCTCAAAGATTTCAGAAGAGACATTACCTAGAGACGCCAAGGATTCAACCTGTGACCTTTTGCAAAACAGATGCTCTGCCACTGAGTTATGGCCCTTCCTGTGCATTAGAATACATTTATTTCAAAGGTGGCATCACTTGATCAAGATTTGAGTGTCACCAGTGAAGGTTTGGGGGGATTTGTTGCAGGTTGTAACTCAAATTAACCATTGCATTGTGGGCTGTTATGATTGGAGGGGCAAGAGTCTCATTTTACACATTCTGTGTTAAGAAACCTGGATTTGCTTCTGAGCGTATGCCCAGTAGGGTGAGGCCAATTGCATATTATATCACAGATATTTTCAGAAACCTTTTTATCACTTTCCCACACTATATTTTTCTAAGTGTGCACCTAAGCATGTGATGTGTAAAAAGGCCCATTAAGTAATTCCATGTGGAACTTTCCCTGTAGATGTTGAATCCAAAGGTTACTGTGGTATCTGAGACCTTCATGATCTGAGTCTAGCTGTACATTTTGTATTGTTTGTTAAATTAAAAACTTAGTGTTTGCTGCCTTCACATGTAAGCATAACCTGTCTTCTTCCATTACTTTAAAATGAGTGTGCTTGGGTAGCTATATTCCCTATAAGTGTGGCAGCACCATGTAAATGCATCCATCAGAAGGTGCAAGAGAAAGCCCTTGCTGCCTTCTGGCTGTTAGAAGCCATTGAAAGTGCATATAAGATTTTGCACAGACAGCCAGATTCTTGATGATCGGTGGAATACAAAGGAACAAGGACGCTTGATTGGATAGCTTTCAACCATCCTTTCACCTTGCACTTTGGTGCTGAGCAGATATTGCTACTTCATGGTTGGCAAATGTAGCAGTTTAAAATGACAGAGAGCTAAAAGGGAGTAGTACAATTTGCAAGAATATTGTGAAATTGGAGCAAGGCTTCTAATACCGTACCATTGATCTTGGAGATAACCATATGCCAGACAAAATATAGGTAAAGGATAAGGTACCCCTGCCTGTACGGGCCATCCTTGACAGACGTCTAGGGGTTTACGCCCATACTACACTTAAGAGGCCGGGCCAGCGCTTGCCGAGATACTTCCGTGGTCACAGTGGCCAGCGTGACAGAGAGCTGCATCTGGGCGAACCCAGCGCAGCACACGGAAACGCCGTTTACCTTCCCGCCAGTAAGCAGTCCCTTATTTAATCTACTTGCACCCGGGGTGCTTTCGAACTGCTAGGTTGGCAGCGCGCTGGGACCAAGCAAACGGTAGCCCGCACCCCGCCGCTGGGATTCGAACCGCCGCCTTCTTGATCGGCAAGCCCTAGGCGCTGAGGCTTTTACCCACAGCGCCACCCGCGTCCCGCCAGACGAAATAGGTCCTTGTAACTTCTAATGTGTGTGTAAAGTTTATTTCTGGTAGGGAGAAACTGTTGCACTTCACCCATATTTCCTTTCCACTTGCCATATTGGTGCTCAGGCCACTGCTTATTATTGAAACACTTTTCTAAATGGATACATTTTAAAAAGCCAACTTCAATGGAGTACTAGTACAAACTGTTGCTAAATGCAAACCCTGCAGTGTACTGATTTACTGACATACATGCTATTCAGATACACAATTTTGAACAGGGGTGGGGACATCTTTTCACTTTGAGGGCTCACCACTGTCACTCAGGATAGTGGACCAGGCATACACCTCTCTCTTTGCTCCAAACAAACAAGAGGTGTTAGCAGAATTCAAGAACATTTTTTAACACTGCAAAAACACCTGGAGTGCCCAGTGGGGCCAGTGAGCGTGGTGACCTGGGGAGAGGGCTGCATTTGACCTCTGGGCATGAACTTCCCCAGCCTTCTTTTAGAATAATGTAAAAAGACGGATAGTAAGGATGCAGCCTGCTCAGTAGTGAATCCTCCGTTCTGGGACTGCTCCCAATCACTGACAAAGCTATCAGTTGCTAGGAAAGAGACGCAGGGGTTTCATGCACTAGAGAGAGTTAAAATAGCTGGATCCCCTGCCTTGGAAATGTTAATTTGGTTCTGGTGCATCATCCTTCAGGCATACTCGTGATTCAATAGTCAAGGTGAAACCTGTGGTTCATTATGATAGCTAATTGGCTCCATGAAAGCTGTGTGAGGCGGGGGCTGTGGCATTTGAATGATACAGATAATTTGATTTGCTCAGCTTGAGCCTATACATTAGGGGCCTGTGGGCTAGATGTGGCCCCTTGACTCCTGCTTCAGTTGGGTTTGCAGAAATGCCTCCTATTTATTGCTAATTTTCAGCCTTTCTTCCCCTTGGCAAGCTGGGTTGCAATACTCAGTGATGGATCTTAAGTGTCTGTGTCCAAGCTGTGTACTTGGGTGAGAATTGTGGTCTGCAAGAGGGATGGAGAAAGGCATGAACTCCCAACTCCCATCAGACCTGGCTGGCATAGCTGATGGCCAGGAAGGATGGAGTTCATCTAGTAACATCTTCAGGACCACAGGTTCCCCATCTCTGGACTGAAGGATACTTAAAAAGAAAAAAAAGTAGTCTTGCTTTCTACTGCCCCAGAAGACAGGACTAGCTCTAATGAGCTTAGCAGGCAGGAGAGCCGATTTCAGAGGTTTCCAAGGAGTCTGGACAGTTATTATTATTTATAATAATTTCCTTTCTATACAACTTTATACTTAAAAAAATCTCAAAGTAGTTTGCAACCCATTAAAACATCAAATAAAACAAATTCAAGCTTCAAAGAAAAATATTTCAGATCCTTCTTGAAGTGACATATTGTTCCCCCATATTTATCTACCTACTTAATTTATAGAGCTGCCCCATAGCAGAAGTGCTCTAGGGAGCTGGTGTGGTGGTTAGAGTGTTGAACTAGGACCTGGGAGATCAGGGTTCAAATCCCCACTCAGTCATGAAGCTCACTGGGTAACCTTGGGCCAGTCACAGCCTCTTAACCTACCTCACAGGGTCGTTGTGGGGATTAAGTGAGGAGGGGGGATATAAATGCAATTCTGCTTACCTGTTCAAGAAAGGTGGAGGGGCCAGTTAGATGGCGAAGTCAATTGCTAGCCTGGCATCTAGACATCTCCATGTGGTCACAATTGGACCCACGCCAGTGGCAAAACACTCCTGGCGCCTGGGGGATTTTGAACATTGTCTGAAATAACAAACCCAAATAAAGTAGATAATCATTTAATAGTACAAAGTGGATAGCAAATGGCTGAGAAAAAGCAGCAAGGTCTACCTTCCTCCCTTAGGTATTGTGCAGTCTTAAGGTGAAAATGAGCAATGGCTGACTATAAAGTATACTTTATAGGTTTTGGTTGAATGTTTCTTCTTCCGTTTGACTGGAGGGTGGCTGTGTGATGGATTGGACAAGGCTGGATATTCAGGTTGTCAGTAGAGTAATCTCAAGCAGCGCAAGAGTGAGCCTGTGGCTAGTTGATGGAGCAGCCCAGACTGTCAGCAGAACTTATATCTGAAGTTAAAAACTGGGTTAGTGGCTCAGAAAAAGAGTTAACGTTTTATGAAGCTAAAGGAGAAGCTGTGCTGGAGGGGAAGGCAGATCTCTG